TACTTCTCAATCGGACGGGATGAGGTGTATTCATCGTGATATGGCCGTAGCCATCTATTATCATAAAATGCCAGATATCAACTTGATCAATTCTGTTAGTAACATGTGAAGTATATCGATATGCCACACTCTTGAGCAGTGCTTTGTATTGGAGTGGGTTTTTTAAAGATTGCTCATTCAAACAAATTAACATCATCTTCATAAAGGAAAAATTGGCATAAAACCCATATGAACAAAATGATTCTCCCATGCCGGGAATTGAACCCGGACCTCCTGGGTGAAAGCCAGGTATCCTAGCCATTGGACTACACGGGAATCTCATTCACTTTGAAAATATTCCTCATTTATTAAATAACCCAGATACTTCATTAACAACAATATCCGAATCTCAGCTGATAGGAAGATTGTCATAATTATGTGGGGGTGGGTGGGTCAAAAAGTGAGGGTCGTAATTATGACAATCTTCCATAGAGACGAAGAATTTAGTAAATTCCTTACACCTTAACTATTAGACATATCATCGCAACAATCCTCCAAGTAGCAAATTGGAACAATCCTTTTGCTTAAGCTTACATACTGGTTCTTGCAAGGAAATTTCTAAATCTCTATCTTACAATATAACTCCGAGGAGCAGTATATATGAAGTGTTGCCTCATACTGCCTTAGTAGCAACACAAAAAAAACAATCAACAACATAATGGGAAATATTGTACATCACAAGGGACATGAAATTCATGCCGCCCAACAACAAGTACAAACCATTGTGGAGCCAGGGGATGAGGTGATCGTGAAGGAACGTATTGTCCAAGTGCACTCATCATTTCAAACAGATGATTCACCACTAGTCACGACTCCTCCACTAAAGGAAAGGTGTTGGAATCGATTAATGGCCATTCCTAACTTCTTCTCACATCACGAATGCGAGGACTTAATTAAGAGATGTAAGAACTTTAAGGAAATTCAAGATGAATATCCAAAAGAGTATAGAAATTCAACCCGAGAGTTGATCATTGATGCCGATCTTGCAAGTTTAATATTTGATAAGTTGAAAACTAGGATTGATTTGGATGCTATTAGTAAAATGGTAACTCCTTTCGGTGTGGATAGTGCAGGAACTTGGAAAGCTTGTGGAGTCAATGAAATGATGCGATTTAACAAGTACCAAATCGGAGAATATTTCAAAATTCACACTGATGGTCAATTCAAAAGAAACAATAATGAAAGAAGTATCTATACCTTACTAATTTATTTGAATGATGATTTTAAAGGAGGAGAGACGCGATTTTACAATGATCCAGAGATGATGGATGGAAATAATTACTCCTACTATAATCTCGTTCATACTGTGAAACCTAGTAAGGGTAAACTTGTTCTATTCAA